CAAAGAGATCGGCAGTGGATGAGGGATTGTTCAAGCTCGCGGATATGAATGACTTCTTAGAGAGTGAGGATAAGAAGGATGCTGAGATAGCGGCTCGCAATAAGGTAATTTCGTGGCGCGTGACACTGAAGTATGCACAACACACTTTAATGAGTCAGGCTAAAGGCCAGGCGGGAGAGGACGAGGAAGAGGGTGATGAGGAGGAGAACGAGTGGGGTGATGACGATGAGTTCATGGACTTGGAGAAGCCACTTGAAGACGATGGTAGGCCTCTTTATGTGCCTTACAGTCTAGAGGATAGAGCGACTTTAGATTCTGAGGAGGTCGATAAGCTTATGTATAGTGATTTCTTTGATGCTCCGGAGGAGGGAGATGAGGTGACCGTAGCGGCAACCGCTCCTTTGAAGTGAGGGTTTGTTGGGTTGTTGATGCGGCTGTACGGTGTGTGGCAGATCATCGCATGAGGGGGAGGAATCTATGGGTGATGATGATGAAGAGGAAGAGGAAGAGGAAGAGGGTTTGGGCGGCTTCCAGGAGGGAGAGAATCTCGACGATGAGGAGGAAGCTGCACTCGAGAAGCAGTTGAAGGAGATGCAGGGGGAACTCACTGAAGGAGGAGAGGAGGAGGAAGAAGAGGATGGTACTGGTCGTTAGCGGTCGTTTTGTGCAATGATGGATGGTATTTAGAATCGGTGGTCGCGACTGATGATGAGGAGAAAAAGGCGTCTCCTGTTGCTGCTGCTGCTCCTCCTGTCGTGGAGTCGAGACGCTCTGAGACTTCTGCGTTGAAGAAGAGGATAGAGGAGATGGAGAATGAGATAGAGGAGATGGAGCGGGAACAGTTGGATGTAATGTGATGAGGACGATGATGTCGAAGTGGCGAAGGTGTGGTATGATGATAAATGGTGATGATTCAGGAGAAGCATTGGACGATGACAGGCGAGGCCACCGGCAGCAGCCGACCTTTGAACTCTCTTCTGGAGCAACATATCGATCTGCCCTTCTCCAAGTTGGCGGCGAGGAGGGCTGAGAAACAGTGGGAGGATGGAGGTAATAATAAAGAAAGCTGTAGGGAATTGGATTGCCTCGTAGTGGTTATGGACGATAGTGGATATCATCTGCAATTTGAATTTTGAAGTGGGGAACATCATTACGAAATCTGGAGGTCGGGGATCCACTTTCTATGAACAACGTGTGATGGACTACGCTCTTCCCGAGAAACTCTGTGGGAGTGAGATGAGAATCTGAAGTTGGGATTTTCTCTGCTCGAATTTGCTCAAGCTCGATTTGACGTTGTTTGAGGTGATGTCGTGATGGTTTCAGAAGAGGAAGAGGATGAGCTTACACAAGGCACTGCTGGGGCCTTCAAGATTGATGTGGATGCCATTATCAAGCAGAGGGTTGCTGATGAACTGTATGATGATGTGATCAAGCGTAGCGAGGAAGAGGTGAAGGAGTGGTATGGCTTTACATGGAGACCGATACGCTTCCCTCAGGTGCTGCGGCTAAAGGGTAGCCAAGAAGGTGATGATTCTGTGGAGACTCTAAACTTCCAAAAGTCAAGGTTGGGTCTTGCTGACGTTTATGCTAAGCAGTATGAGGCGGAGGTAGATGAGGGTGGTCCATGGGGGTGGCCAGGGTGGTGCTTGCTCAGATGCTAGGGCAGCAGACTGATGCGGAACTACAGCAGGACGCAGACCGGGTTGAGCTCAGGAGGCTCTTCGGTAAGCTCATGCACAAGCTGGACACTCTTACTAATCAGAACTTCACTCCTAGACCGGTATGTGAAGGGGGGCAGGAGAGGTCGCTAGTTGGCTGGACTCAGTGCTTGATTCGGCCTTGTCGAAGCAGCTAAGACGGTGATGCTCCGGCTATTCGGATGGAGGAGGCGTACTATTACGTGGCTGCTGGTGGTACTGAAGG